GGGCAGATGCAGGTAGGGCGGAATTAAAAAAAAAATCACAAAATCAAAATCAAAGTAAAATAATAAAATAAAAGGGCATTAATAACAAAAGTAATAAAAAATAAAATTAAAATAAGTTTATAGCCAAAATAATTAAAGCCCGTACACTACATCAGATTTTAATCAGATTGTTGAAGGAGCAACTAATATTTTTCAACCTGGTATTTTTTTTAGATTTTAATTTTCATTCTTTTCGTCTGTTTTTTCGAGTTTAAAAAATGTGAGCTGGCTGGAGCCTTCATCCCTTGTCTATTTCTTACACTAGATACCAGCCGATCCTCCCCCCCCCCCGCTCATATTGAGTGCGTACAGTTGATCATAGTTCCTGGGTTCCCTGTGGCTTGACCCGACTGACTATATGATCTTTCTGTTCAACTGTTTAAGCGCGGTGGTCGTCGCGTAGCCCGTGTTCGAATTTGATGTAAATAAACAATGTATTTTACACGCGTTGTATACGTCGCTATGAGTCCCATATCGAACAGGACGCGGCACGACGACCGCCAGCCTTTAAGCTAGGATTTATTACCGTTATTATTATTATATTGTCACGTGATTTGTTCCACCTTATGTGTAATGTCTTAAGTATCTTTATTGTAATTTGTATATACCAATTCGTATATACCGAACAAATGACCCCGATTGAAGTTCATGTATTTCGTGACGTCGCCAGTTCGTGTGTCACGGTAGATACGGCTTCTGGAATTGTGCCCTGGTCGTTAAAGTGGAACCTGTGTTCAATATATCAGATAGCTGTGGTTCCAAAGCTCTGCTTGTGTCGATCTGACGATATATTGAACGTATGGTATTGCCGACACAGTAGAGCTAATGCCATACGACGTTTGATATACCATCAGATCGACACAGGCAGAGCTATGGTCCCACAGCTATATATCAGACTACTGAATTACTATACCTTTGCAATTGTTCTTTGAGAGGTTCAACGTCCACCTCAGACCGCCTTCCATGCAGAATAATATCAAATCCATTTTTTGCTAGGGACTTGGCAATCGCATAACCAATACCGTCACAGGACGTGGATCCGGTGATCAAAGCGACTTTTCCAACACCAGCTGCAACAGCCATCGTATCTGCGATGAACTTTGCCCTAACACTCTACCGCTGAGGGCAGCATTAAAATTTAAGTATACTAGGGAAGCTAGATATTGGAATAATGATGAATTAAATAGTATACGTGTCAAATATACATAAACATAGATAATATGTGTTTTTATAGTTATTTTCTTTATCGGTTTTCCACGTATCGGATAAATAGAGAAAGTCGTACGTATGGCATAAGGAATATTTAACAGCGCCATCACCAACTAATGACGATTGCGCTTTATCTCAACGACGTGCGCGATTGCGTTTCGCTATGAAGAAGATATTGCGCTTAAGGTAGAAGCCTAGTCATAGTTTTTGACAAAATTAGTCATAAATAGCATGATAATGTTCATTATGTACAATCATGAAGCTCTATGAAGTCCTATGGTACAATGAAATAGCATTATTTTGTGTTTTACAGTTAAGCTTTTTGAGAAATGTGTCCTAATATTTGTTGAAAATTGGTAATTTTAGAACAATTCCATAGAACACAATGTTAAAAAAAAAATGCATTTTTTGACACTTTTTAAAACCCAGATTTTTTTTAATATTCCAGAACAACAAAAAGTACTCAATCATTAATAATATATGATTTTTTCAGCCTATGTCGTCCAACTGTCTAGATTTTGAGATATTGCATAATATCTCTGCCATAGGAACCTGTGGTAAAAGTGTTATAATAGTGTCAAAATGGCAACTTTCCACTAACATACAACCATCAATTTCTCCCAACTTTTTTTAGGTCAATATTCTTATATTGCCTTGGAGTTCAGTTTATCGCAAAATGAATAAATTCTGGGTATTTTAATTTATGAGTAGGCTTCTACCTTAAAACAAAATAGACGCGGAATGACATGACTTCATTTTCGGACAAGCCGCGTACCAGACTTGTAAAAGCCATGTAATAATTATATATAACCTCAGGGTATTTCCTCTTTGGTTGACGTTAGCAGGCACGTGTGATTACCGCCAGTTTGTTTATCTATCCGAGCCACATGTGACTGATACAATCCGTAGTTATGGGACCGTGAACAACCATGGCAACATCGTACAATTTCCGACAGCGCGTACAGTCAATAAAGTTCGGCAGTATGTTACGTAACTCTGTGGTGATATGGGTTTTTGATCTGCCCTGTCTTACGCCACATTGTGGTGATATTCAAGTTTCCGACAAACAATAAATATATTAATATTGCCAATTTTCCTGTTTTGTAGAACAGTTTGTTTCATGGAAAGGTTGACATGGGCTAAACAAATCGTTAGGAAGGAAGTGAGATACATTGCCACAGCTTCAAATAATCCAATAGTTATGCGCTGAATCAAATTATCTTATAAGCGAACTAATATCGTTTTCAGGTGGAATATTGTATAAGGGGAATTTATAAAAATGACAAACACTGCGCGGTTTTCTATTTCAACGTCAGCACCAGCCTGATCAGAAATAATTGCAGTGTTCTTAAACAGTTCGGATCAACTAGTTACAAGACAATATATTTTTTTGTATAATTATGTAGTCTCCAGGCCTAACATTATCATGTTGTATATATGACATGTCTGTTGTAAGTTACCGGCAATGAAAATATGATTTCGAAACGCAATACTAATAATAATAAATTACCGACACGAATTTTGTGTTTGTACGGATATGTTACAAAATAAACGAAATGGCATTCTCTTCCATCTGAGGAGCATTTAGTTAAATGAAATCACCAATTTTGGTATTAGCATGAGCGGAAAAACACAGTTTTGACCTTTTTCATAACGTCTATTTGCGGAAAAGTGAAATTATAATTTATTCTACAGATGTGCGTTTACAGTTTGACTGCAAGCTAAATGACCGAACATAATCATTTAGGGATTTCTTCATTTAGTGATAGTATAGTAATCATTAACAATGAGAAAAACAATTCTTGAGTGCCAATTATCATCAAGGTAAAATTATTACTGGCAGGCAGGCTTGTATTTCGAAATCCCCCCAGAATCACGATTTTCTTTTTCAAATCTGACCAATAACAATGCATTGACGAACGTACTATAAGTATATACCATGGTATATGTTAGTAATTTAAATATATTCTGTTCTGTGCAACATCGTTGTATCCCATCATATCCGGCTTACTGAAACGGCAACGGTTGACTGATACATCATGAATAACAGCAACAGCACGACCGAGAACAGCGACATTACAGCTGCAAACGAAGCCCCCAAATGGGTGACTCAATTTACCGGTTATATAGAGCTGATTTTCACAGTAGTGGCCTTATTTGGAAACATTGTATTTGTTGTTGCTGTACTCATCAGGAAGCGGCTGCGCACCACTGCAAACTTGTTCTTGGTCAATCTCGCCTTCACAGATATTATAGCAGCGCTGCTCGTCTCGACCTTCGCCGCTGCAGCCCATCTTCGCCGTGGATGGTTCTGGGGACATACATACTGCATTGTACACTCTGTGATACAACCATTCTTACTAAGTATTTCACTTTACGTTAGTGCCTGTATCGCCTTCAATCGATACGTGTACATCGTACATAGAGAAAAATATCAAAAAATCAACAACAAATTCAGCGTTGTTATTTTCCTACTCTTTTCCTGGCTGTTTCCCATAATCGTCAGAGGCCAGCAGTTTCTCAAGTCACCGTTTTTCTACTCATCGTCAGTATATAGATGTCGTTACAGCACTACCCAGGTAATCACGGCGCTGATAATTTACGTCCCGTGCGCTATTGTTGTCATTTGCTACACGCGCATTTTCATCTATGTCCGTAAAAGCAGATTACGAGTCCAGGCTCACCAGCAAAGTCTGCCAAACACAGCTACAAACAATACACCGAAAGGTCCCAGCAAACAAGAACTTCGCATGATCGCCGTCTTTTCCAGCGTGTTTATTCTGATTCTGATGGGGTACCTGCCATTCATCATTCTTGTGAGTGTATATCAGGCAAAAGGACAGAGACCTCCTGTTGGCATAACCATTTTACTTTACCCATGTTTACATCTTGCAGGAGTTCTAAACCCAATCATTTACGGACTGAGCAACAGACATTTCCGTGCGGCTTACAAAGATATTTTCACAAAATTTTCAAATTCAAACTCTGTCATCGTTGATGTGAATATATAACTCGGGTTAGATAGACATACACATTAATGTTTAATCAACTTTTATGGACGGCATCTTATGTATACTGTGTTTCCATCAATGTTGTGTGTTTAACCGTTATTGTTGAATATTGAATCCGAACTGTTATATTTACGAACAATTATACGTGAATGTGCGCTATACATTTACATTTTGGAATGTAATCGTTTGATACATAATATTTTTGTTTTTGAAAATAATGTTTCATTGATACATGTATAGTGTATATTACTTTTGATTCGTTAACATATTGTATTTTGAGAACATTTAATATCACTTTATTGAGAGCATATTTAGATGTATTCTAACTTGTTTCTGTGGGGAGATTGATGGACCATTTAACATTAATGTTATTTCTACATTAATTGTGTGTAAATTTATGTTTATAGTTTATATTTATAAAATGAAGCTGTTTAATTCAGTATCCACAAGCCGGCCGTGTTTTCTTCTTGATAATGTGTGATAGGGATATCTGTGCTATTTGGTGTGCTCGTAGTGGGGAATACCAATCAATAATGTATTAAGTACATCAATATAACTCACTGGTGGATGCGATGTTTAGTGAAAAAAAGGTTTCAGGACTTTATGTGTTTGTGTTCAACTGTATATGTCTACTGGGCCTGGTGCATGTGGTCCTGGCCCCGGAGTATGCTAGTCACTGTGCGAAAAAAATGAATTGACAAAGCATCATGTTGTATGTCAAAGTGAACTAAAACGTCCGTCAGTTTACCAGATGTACACGGAGTTCACCCAAGTCGCTAATTGTAAATCATCATATCAAGTATACGCACAATTGGTACAAAGTGTTGCAAAGTCTTCAGGTTCATGAAGTAATTTTTAAACTTGATGTAGTCAGTTTCCAAGGATGAACTTCAGCACCAATATAACGAAAATGACCTTAGTGTATTGTACCCTTATTTAACCTTATTGAACATACAATTTGTTAAGGAGCCAAAAACTGAGAATATTTATTTTATTTTAGACCACACTTCACATAATCTTTTTGTCAGTTCCTAATCATACTCGAAACTATTTGCACTAATGTTCCACTCACTCTACTGGTTTATTTTGATACAAAATTCATAAAACGAACGGAATTACAATCTCCCAATCGCATTTTTATTGAAAACGTAGTAGTTTTGAGAAGCAACAAATAATATCGCATACTAGTATTTGAATTTCCTAATAATTTATACCGAGGTGTAAAAATTTACGCTCACGCCTCACAGCTCCATATTACACAGAATTCACTATGATTCTCATCATTGACAATTCATTTTGCTAAAACTGACATTTTAGACCATATTTAAAACGGGGGAGGTGGGTGTGCTGTCAGTATTAGTTTTACAAAGTTCGTTTAATTTGCAAATGGCTCCAGAAATGTCCAATTTACCACAAAGCCTGGCGAAAGCAATTTATAATAAAGGCACTAAAATGTTGTCAACCCTAATACTAGTCTTCATAACGTGGCAGCTAATCTGCATATTTCATTCATTCAAAGACAAAAGAAGGTTTTGAGTTCTGAACTAAGTTTAGTTTATGTTTACTTAAAATACTACTTTACTAGCAATACCTAAAACTATTCAGCAATTCGAAGAAAATATATTTTACATAATTTACGATTACAATCAATGTGATAATAATAATAATAATAATAATAATAATAATAATAATAATAATAATAATAATAATAATAACAACACACACATAGCAGTCCGTCATCTGCCGAATTTATATGCTTCTCACAAAGTGAGATTTATGGTAAGAGTCGCATTAGGCTGATAGATGATGAACTCCGCTAAAAATACATGTTTTAGCTGTTGCCATGGCAACGATGAGCTATGGTTTTTAGCAGATTTTACCACCTAACATGAGTTAAGGTGTGACGATGCCTGTCAAGTTTATACAAAATCGACAGATACGTGAAAGCGCTAAACACACACTTAAACACACAGACAGTACAAGGGCAATCCTAGCGGATCGGATCACTAACAAACCGCAGTTCAATAATCAGTAGCAAGGAAATAAAGTGTTTTTATGTTATTATTTCTTGTTTATGGCTTATCAAATTGTAATTCTTTCGATTCCTGCAATCAGGCTATGACTAATGGTATACTCAACCGACCATGTATAATTTTTCAAAAATTTGATTAAGTAGAATGTTTCAAATTGGCCAAGGCCAAAGCATATGTAACTTTGTCGAAGCACAATGTTTTCAGAAACGAAGAGAAGTGGCCGTGAAAATAAGTTGTATTTATACATATATATGTCTGAACAAGATATGTTGCTAAATGCATATAGTCATATAATTTTAGACGACAAATATCACAAATACTACAAATATAAATTGTTGGAAAAATACACGGCATTTTCGATAAACGTTGTAAACGAACATATAAACAGACAGGGTCCATATATAATCAGGTATAATTAATAATAGTAAGCGGTATCTTGTTGTCTTCGCAGGATGGCGAGATTCTTAGTTAAGTTGGAAAATTACACCGGAAATTACAAAATTCCCTAACGGAATACCCCCAACACAATTTAAACTGTTATAATGATTGTTGAACACTCAATATATTCACTAATAATAATTCGACTTTTACAGGAAACAAAAAATGTCATGCCATTAAAACGTCTATATTAATTTAACATGTCACATTACCCAGCAATCATAGATAGATGCCTCTATTCAACTAAACATATTTGTTAACAGTTATCACATGGCCATGGTGTCGCAGCGTATTATTCATAATTATAACGTTTACATGAATGATCAATCATATTCATGATTCATAATTAACAGATAGAGAAAGAGTCGTGATGCTGCACTGGGTAACACGATTTGCTTTAATATATATTAAGAACATTTACTAATATTTATGTCATGAAAAAATAAAATATCTTGTAGACAATTTATTAAATACTAACAATACATTAGTAATTTTATATGTTCTTAATTGCTAGTAATTAACGATTTTCTATTTAAAAGAATGTACTCATGGAAGCGTGTTTTTTTTTGCTTTAATTATAAGTTGTCATGGTTAATAAATGTTAACAGTACTGTATCCGTAACACAGTCCCCCATGTAATTTATATTAGTCTGGTTCTGTATTTATGCCATGTGCCACACATCAAATTTATATGGATAAGTTTCATCACCAACCCCTGCAGTTCTATGTCAATTTTATATGAATTTGTCTTAAGAGCGTCATCTGAACTATTTGTTCACTTCATCGTTTCAAGTTCTTCTTTTTATTATTTCTATTTATGCTGATTTCCACATATCCAGAAAGAAACCATTGAATTTCTCATTTTGATAGTGATCAATATCAACATGTACAAGCACGCTGTGAAGAACATATCTACGTAAAACCACGACACTCGCCTTGGTAGCGAAAAATAAATGACATTATTATACACCTGTCACCGAACGCCATAAGTTACAGCGTGCCGTAATTTAAGGAAATACGAATTACAAATATGCAATGATAATATATAATCATAAAAACAAACTGCCATCATAGTTTGACCGGACTCCACACAAAGAAGTTCGTTGATTCTGTTCTAACCCTTTGGGATTTCGGCATTCCCATGATGAATTCTTGGAAGGAAGATATGTATATTAATAAGGTTATTACGAGGATACCTCAAAGTACGAACGAAGACAGTACAGCGGAAGTGTCGACCGATGTGACGGCGTACCGTCTAATATAAATTATTTGATATATTGTTAATCCTGAAGAATAAGATATATATGGATGATAGGGTAACTTGTATAATACACACGTTTACGTAGGCGTCATGTGGGTGACAGGAATGGACAAAAGGACAAATGTTTTGCACACGCTGTACATATGAGAGGTAAGGAAGGTGGCACCGGTAATCTAATCTGTCGCTGTCAATTTCATAACAATTAACATGTACGCTTACTCTTGCAGCATCCAATGATACTGCGATGTACTAGAAATATCAAAGGTCGAGACATTTAGTACACAAGTAGATCAAATAAGCGTTATGAAAATGTCACGACATCGTCATTGAGTGAGGTTGCTCTTAGTGACCTATTTGACCATATTATCTAGTTATGCTACACAGTGGAAATGAAGGTCACGGAAACATGACATTTAGGGTATAAAAAGTCCTGCAATAGGGTATTCTGAGTGTTCGAGAATCACGATCCGATCACAGTAAAGCTACATTCACTGGTTATGTTGCCACGAATAGTAATAAATAAATAAATTATTGAAAGTCAAGTCAAAGTTCCAATACCAGCTGTATCACTGCTGAATAAATATCCTTTATTTTTTGGTTGCCACAAACAGATGTTTCTGAATATACATCAAAATTGAAAAAAAAAATCCTAATACGCAAGCTTCTTTTGTATGAATCTACACATGTCAATGCAAGGGACAATTCAAGTCAATTCCATTCAACACTCAATCGGCAATAAATAATGCAACATTTTCAACTAAGTCATCATTACGTATTATTTATACTCACATTGACCAGTGATGACAATGTGAATTTTCACTCCCGGTCTTTCGCGCACTTTCATACACAAAACCGACTAATCATTTCGTCTAAGTATACAACGCTATGATACACTTTCTCAGAACCTTTGAGACGCGTGCAGAAAAATTGTTTAAAAAAGATACTCCTTAGTAGTTTAAAAAAAATCTTCAAAACTCATAATCCTTGCTGAGCAAAGTTGTCAACAAATATATCCCATTTAGACATTTTTGCCAAACTAGGCCACTAAACACAGGGCAAATAAAGAATACTATTATAGACGAATGTAATATTATAGCTTGCGTATATTTCTTTCAAAACTTACATAATCATGATACAAATATTCTCATTCTGTTTTCATAACAAGTTTGCTCTAAATATCAACGTGCGATTTGGTTTGCAATCCAATTCGTTTTGAATCACAAGTGTCATTGTTGAAGAAACTACAATTTTAGCTGATGTTAAATTGT